CCCCCCGCCGTGTGGGCGGGCGCCGCCGCTGAGGCCGCGGAGCGCTGGGGCCGTCGCAGCGCCGCTCTGCCGGCGCCATGAGCCTCCTCACCACCGCCCCGCTGAGGGTCGCCGGCCGCCGTGCCAGCACCGACCACAACTACATCATCAAGGAGCATTACAACTACACGGGGAAGCTCAACGAGAACACGGACAGCGGCATAAGAGTCACCTCGGTGGTTTTTATCGTCATCTGCTGTTTTATAATCCTGGAGAATATTTTTGTCTTGCTCACCATCTGGAAGACCAAGAAGTTCCACAGGCCCATGTACTACTTCATTGGGAACCTGGCCCTCTCGGACCTGCTGGCCGGAGTGGCGTATACCGCCAACCTCCTGCTCTCAGGGCACAGAACCTACAGCCTCACCCCCTCGCAGTGGTTCGTGAGAGAGGGCAGCATGTTCGTGGCCTTGTCGGCGTCCGTGTTCAGCTTGCTGGCCATCGCCATCGAGCGATACATCACCATGCTGAAGATGAAGCTCCACAACGGCAGCAACAGCTTCCGCTCCTTCTTGCTCATCAGCGCCTGCTGGGTTATCTCCGCCATCCTAGGCGGGCTGCCCATCATGGGCTGGAACTGTATCAGCCTCCTGCACAACTGCTCCACGGTGCTGCCCCTCTACCACAAGCACTATATCCTCTTCTGCACCACGGTCTTCACAGGCCTATTGCTATCTATCGTTGTCCTGTATTGCAGGATCTACTCCATGGTGAGGACTAGGAGCCGCAGGCTGACGTTTCGGAAAAACATTACCAAAGCCACCAGGAGCTCGGAAAAGTCCTTAGCTTTGCTCAAGACGGTGATCATAGTCCTGAGCGCCTTCATTGCCTGCTGGGCTCCCTTGTTCATCCTGCTTTTACTGGACGTAGGGTGCAAGGTGAAAACCTGCCCCATCCTCTTTAAAGCAGAGTATTTCTTAGTGCTGGCTGTGCTCAACTCGGCCACGAACCCTATCATCTATACCTTAACGAACAAAGAAATGAGGAGGGCTTTCATCAAGATCCTGTGCTGCTGCAAATGTTCCCCCGCAGACGCTGGGACCAAATTCAAGAGGCCGATCATCGGCGGGATGGAGTTCAGCCGGAGCAAATCCGACAACTCCTCCCACCCGCAGAAGGAGGAAGGCGACCGTCCCGAAACCATCATGTCTTCGGGCAACGTCACCTCGTCCTCTTAGGAGCGAGCGCGGAGGCCTGTGGGAGCCTTCCCTCTGCAGTGCGCCGGCCGCGACGCCTCCCGCTCGCGGCGGCGGCGCCGGGCCAGGCGGGCGAGTAGCGTTAGTTCTAGCGAGGCGAGCAGCGCCCGCGAGGCTGCGCGCCCAGAAACGGGACACGCTGTTCTGGCTCGAAAACCCATTTCCCTGGAGCGTGTTTTGTGTTTGCACTGAGGCAGCCCGGGGTTGTCGGGCGCATTCATATCGTGAAATCTCCTTAGTAACTCCGAAAGACTGATGCCTGGTGCACGCGAGAGCAAGGGAGCGGGCGAGGAGAGAAAGGGAGAGCGAGGCTTTGGTTTTTCCTGTGAGAAGAATGTGAAGTTTTTTTTTTTTTTTTTTTTTTTTTTTTTCTTTACTTGCAGTAAAACACTGACACAAAGATCCTTTGGTCCCGAATGTAGCCATGGCTCTGCTCCGCTTGGGCAGAAGCGTTTGTTTGGCACGTAGCAAGGAGAGAGATCCCACCAGCACGAGCGGGACCGTGCGCAACCATCATTTTGCATCCCTTTCCAGAGCTTCTGGTCGAGTAACAAGTTTTATTTGCAGAGTCCAGGGTTGTTGGGGTTGTATTTAGCAAGATTGTAGCTGTGAAATTTTGCCGATGGTCCCGAGCGCACTCGAAGACCACGAGTCAGGCTCTGCAGTTACTTTTCACCGACCCAAACCCTGACTGCTTCCAATTCTACGGAATAGCTCGGAGGGGCGTTTGGCCCCGTACACCGATTACCTTCTTAGTTTGCATTACCTTGGCAAATGCAAGGTAGAGCTAAAGGCCATTTCTCTTTAAGATGAGTGAAAGTAAATCTAATAGTATAAAATACTATCGACAATAGTAGGATTTTTGCCGAAGTAAAAAAAAAAAAAAAAAAAAGTAAAAACTGAAGGGTAATTTCAGTGTTAGGTCCATAGTATTTCCAAAGGTAAAGATTAGTCAGAAAAACTAAAAGGAATACCTTGAGTTTGAGAAAAAAAATTAAGTGAAATGATTACAGATAAATGCACTTCCATAACAAATTGCAATACAGAGTTTGGCACATTTTATTGATGTTTATAATTTCAGCAAGGATGTCTGTATTTTATCAGTTCATGGAAGAAGTACCTTTCCTTAAATTGAATGTATTTGTTTTTCAGCGTCATTTTTATTCCTCCGTTTTTCTAACCTGTGCTAATGGGGTTGAATGTGTACAATGTAAATAATTTTAAAAGATGTGGGAGACTTCATGCACCTAGGGTATTACTGTAACAAAAGTGGTATATCTGGGATAGCTGAGAGCAATTGACTGATTTACAGTTATTGGCAATTCTTAAAAATATTGTTTTGTAAAGAAAATATATCGCCTTTGTAGTAAGATTTCCAGTGCAATTAAACTGATTTTTTTCCTGGTTTTAAAAAAAATAGTATTTAAAAAGTTTCTGACTTTCATTGTTCAATTTGCACATAGCTTTATTGACTTCTAAACATTAATAAACTGATTTTTTTAAAGATTCTGTTATCACAATATTAGTTTTGTACTCCTGTGGGCTTTCACATTGGGTTTGGTTTCTTGTTAGCAGAAGTCAATAGAAGAATTTAGTTGAGTACCCACTGGATTAAGCCTGTTGTGTGGGATCTTTCCAACCAGCCAAGACACAGACGCTTAATGCCACTTAGAAGATCATGTAGAATACTAAATTAACACTAGACTATGGCTTGGGGTTTTTTAGTTTCCTCTCACCAGCACATATGCTATACTGATGAAATACCAATAAAAAATCTGAATAGCAGCATGTTGGCAAGCACCTTTTCCCCAGCAAACAGTGAAACAGGAGCAGAAGATGCCTCTGAGCTTGGCCACCACTGCCCAGAGTAATCTTCTAAATGGAAGAACAGCATCTAACCACTCATCCCTCATCAGTTTTAAATGATGCTTGTAACAAAACTTCAGTTTGTAAAATACGGCCTCAGGTCAGCATCTGCTGTAGCCTCCCTAGGCCCACCCCAAGGCGAGGAACATGGCCGTGGATTTGAACAGGGACCGGGATACTTGTAAAGCTTTGACTTCCATTTCCTCCCTTGCGGCCATTCCCTCTAGGTCTTGCTGGAAGCTCTCGTGGCGCTCGCACCGGATGCAGTTGGGTGTACAGATAAACCTCACCTCCTCGCAGCGCGCGTCCTCCCCGCGCAGCGCGGACTGTGGGAACGCGGAGCCGGCTCTGCGAGGAAGGCTCTGGGTCGCAACCTCGCTTCCTCAAGGAAATTCCAAAAATGCCCTCAAGACAAAAGAGTGGAAGGAGGCTGGAATTTCTCTCCATCTGTCTGCCTGGACGGAAGGAATGATTTCATGTGTGCTCACTTCCTAGCCTTTTAATTCATGTCCTGAGCAAAGCTGGAAAAAATGTTGAATCCGTATTTGTGCGAAAGATGGAGCCTGCCTCCCTCTACCTCCCCACGCCGTCCCTGGGGCAGGGGTGTGTACAGAAGGTACTCACGGTCGTAAGGGAAAGTGCCGATTTATCCCAAGCAGTGAGACTTAGAGCACCAAAAGTAGGTAAATTATGAGAGTCCAAGTGCTATTGATGAGTAAGAAAGGGCAATATCTAGTGACATGGGTTCCCGACTTCATTTTGGTCCCTATCTGGGTTTGCAGGAATGTTTTTTTATTCAAGAGACTCTTGGGACTAGAGTCTTCCACTCCCGAAGCCTTCAGGGCATTAAGGTTGTTTGTCCCACCGGAGCTGGAGGTCATATGACGAGGGATGAGCCATGTCCAAGTGCGTCGGTGTCACAGCCCCTTGTGGCTATCGGCCTTTACGTATGTGCGGGTGACAGCCAGCAGGTTAGTCACTTCCCTCCGCAGGGCTGCTCTATCCCCCTTATCTGCTTTCTCTAATTGCAGTGCAAGTCTTTGCGAGGGGAAATGACTCCTTCCCTCTGTGCATTTGTTTCATGGAAGCCAAATTTCAGTAGGTAACTCAAAGCCCTACAGTAATCTATGCAATAAGCAAAGGCCCCAGTCTGGCATTGGGCCACGGGAAACATTTCCTATGCTCTTGATCAAGATGACTGAGACCCATTTCCTCCATGGTGAGGCCACATCTGTGCATGGAGAAAAGCTTCAGGCAGGGAATAATAACAATAATAATAGTAATAGTAGCCAGGGTTCCCAATGGAAGGAAAGTCAGGCTGTTTGTATCTCTCTGCACTTCCTATAGGAGAACCCTGCACCTCCTTGACCACTGAAACCTATTAGACTAAGTGAACAGGTTAGGGCAGCTGCACATGCTCGGCTTGGGATGCGCAACGCGGAGAGCGGCCGGCCTTGGGCGTGCGGCTCGGGGCAGCCCCACTGGCACACGAAACGCACCGGGACTGCAAAGCACCAAGCGCACGGATGAAATAAAATAGCCTGAACTATCAGGAGTAACCTGATTTGTTTTAATCGCACAGGGATTCAAAAGGAGCATGCATGAGTATGCACATACAAAGTACAAAAACTAGAGCAAAGTTAAAAATACTCCTCTTGTTCTGTCCACCAAAAACTACAAGGATTGCCCTCCTGCGACATTTCCTAATTTGGCCTGGAAGATCTTGACACTGATTGCTTTTTATATGGACCGAGGGCCTGTAAAAGGGCTATGTTGACTAAGCATCCGAAAATGTGGATTCTTAGAATTGATCTACAGTAAATGATCCAGATTATGCCTGTCCCCGGGGAATTTCCAGCAATCTCTTACAGGGTTTTGAAACTCCTTGGAAATACTTAGAACATGCTTAGAAACACTGGTCTTGTACTTATTATTATTATTATTATTATTTTTGGTGGAAAAGACTTTCCTGGAAAACTGTGACTGAACCTTCAAGGATTTAAGAAACAAACCAAAAATCCATCCAAGTTCTATTCCCATAATCTGCTTTCACAGATTTTTCTAATCCTGTCTTTGCGTCTGTAGATGGAAGGAGTTTCTTCATTCTCTGTAGCCTGATTTATTCTGATAGAACATTGTTTCTTTCTAGGCAATCTGCAAGAATTGCTTTTGGGTTAAGAGATCTTTTAATTTTTACACCAGGCATGGGATTTTCTAAAATTCTGTCCCTTTTGGTAGTAACCAAATGAAGTCTGCACATAGGAGGAGGATTTAAGTCTGAGCTACCACAAATTGTGGCAGTAAGTGGCTTATGCTGAAATAAATGTGTAGAGATCTGAAACTCAAGCATCAGACATACACAAAGATACTAACAAAAGAAAATATTTTTTTATGGGGAGGAAGTTCAGAATATAATTTGTATGGACTTACATGATCCACTGAAGAGAATTATAGAAAAAATATTATCTGGGAATTATACAGTGACTGTTTTCCTGTATTCAGGACTCTTTAATATTACCTTCATGGTACAAAAAGGCAGGAAATCAGACCAACCGCACCCAAGAACTCTCCAGGCATGGAAAAGTCCTATGTTAAAGCAAAGGTGACAAAGTTCTGTCAACTTCCCATGGATGTTTAAACCTGGTTTAGTAATTACATAATGGAAACCTGGCACAAAGGACAGCTAAAATGGATTTTCAGCATCTCACTTAAAAGCAGGATCAAAATACAGACGAAATAATTTTTGGTAACTAATGCACATTTGGAAATCACAGGGTTTGAAGGAAATCACTGAATAAATACTGTGTTAAAACTCTCTGCCCAGCTTCATGGAAACACTGATGAAAGCATTATCACCATTAGGTTTGAATCCTAGCTGATATCCAAACTACGACAATGAAGTACTAAATTTAGTTTTGTACTATGTGAAGATGGAGATGTGACTTCATATGGGCAACAGAAGCAGAATACGTAAGGTTGCAAACAAAACAGCCTGATGTGAAAACTGGATTTTGACATAGGGTGTAGGAGAAAACAGGCTGCAGGGGTTGGTGAGGTAGATGAGGCAGTTCTGTGGCAGTAAAGGCACGGCTGAGGATCTTCAGTGATGGGCTCTAGCCTTGGCCAGCAATTCTCTCCCGGGCAATGCCGGGCAAGTTCTCAAGAATCCTCACCTTCCTGCAAGGAACTGCATGCACAAGGACATTCACAAGTGAATTTTAATGTTGTGGTACTATTCAAAAAGTTGGTATCTGTGGTATTTCTGGCTACGGCAGATGGTCTCCCAGCTCACTTAGTGCCCAGCCTGCAGTACCTCCTTGTGCTCTGATGACCTGATGCTGCTCTATGACAATTCTTGTACAGTGGGAAAAAATCTTTTTTTTTTTTTTTTCTCAG